TCTGGGTGTTTGCTGACCCGCAGCGCGCACCCAGCGAAGGGTTCTGCACCGCCGGGGTACAGACCGAGGCGGGAGTTGCCGATCTGTGCTGGGTGGATGATCGGGGTATCCTGGTGGCTTCCGACTCGGGTAAGTAACGGGGATATCTCCTGGAGTGTGTCCTTCGCTGAGCTGTGTTCTCTGTCCCGTTGTCGTGGGTGTCATCTTGCCCTCCAGTGGGGTGGGAGACATCCTTAGGGGAGATCTTATCACCCTCTACAACTCCCTGACAGGAGGTTGGAGTCAGATGGGGGTTGGTCTCTTCTCCCAGGCAACCAGCAGCAGGACAAGAGGGCACAGACTCAAGCTCTGCCAGGGGAGGGTTAGGTTGGATATGAGGAAGAGATTTTTTCTGGAGAGAGTGCTCAGGCATTGGAATGTGCTGCCCAGGGAGGTGGTGGATTCACCATCCCTGGAGGTTTTCAAGCTGAGACTGGATGTGGCACTTAGTGCCATGGTCTAGTGACCACAGTAGGGTTGGACTTGATGATCTCAGAGGTCTCGTCCAACCTGGTTGATTCTGTGACTCTGGGTGTCCCTGCCTTCCCCTCTGCTGAGCTGGGTGATCCTCCTCCTTCCCCTCCACTGAAATGGGTATCACCACTTTTGAGCTGGGTGGGTGATGCTCACTCTCCACTGACCTGGGTGTCACCTGCTCTGAGCTGGGTGGTCCTCTCTTTCCCCCTTGCTGAGCTGAGTGTCCTCCCCATTCCCCTCCACTAAGGTAGGTGTCAGCAGTCCCTCCTCTGAGCTGGGTGACCCCCTGTATCCCCACAGGTGCTGTGGAGCTGTGGGAGCTGGAGGAGAATGAGACACTCATCGTGAACAAATTCTGTAAATATGAGCACGATGACATCGTGACGTCGGTGTCGGTCCTGGCCAACAGCACACAAGCTGTCAGTGCCAGCAGGGACTTCTGGTGAGTGTCCCCAGCCCTGTGCCCATGCACCAGGGCCAGTGCTGGGTGCTGACTGCTCACTCTTGTCCTCAGTGTGAAGGTCTGGGACATCCCAGAGCAAACGGTGCTGCACTCCTACAGAGGTGAGTTCCAAACCAGCCCCTGGTCCAGCCCTTCGTCCCCCTCACTCCTTGCTGCAGGCTGAGCTTGCACCTGCAGCATCACCAGTGACCTCCTACGTGCCAAACCACACTTGGGGGCATCAAATGTTTGCCAGTCTGTGAAGTTTCTCCCTTATTTCTTTGCCTGTTGTTCATTTCTCCTCACACAAATGTTTGCCTTACATCCCTGAAGTGTGTTTTAGGGTTATTTTTTCCGTGCTGAGATGTTTCTTCTACCTGTATATGACCCATATTTGTTTTGAACAACAGCCCATTTGCGGTGGTGATCTCTGGAGAAGTGTTACCATCACCTCTGGCCACAGCAGAGGCCACACTTTACAATCACAGACTGGTTTGGGTTGGAAGAGACCCTAAAGATCATCCCATTCCATCCCTTGCCATGGGCAGGGACACCTTCCACTAGCCCAGGTTGCTCCAAGCCTCATCCAGCTTGGCCTTGAACACTTCCAGGGACAGCTTCTCTGGGCAACCTGTGCCAGGAAAGTTGGAGACAATCTTTGAGGCTCTTTATCCTTTTGTAGCTCACTCCGCGGCAGTGACGTGTGTGGCTTCCTGTCCTGGTAAGGACACTGTGTTCCTGTCCTGTGCTGAGGTAAAGCTCACTCTGTTGTCTCAATCTGCCTGGTAAAACTGAGATTGAAGTGCAGTTAGTTACAGCTTAATGCAGTTAGAAACCACCTGTTGTGTTACAAGTTGTGTTATTTCAGTGTTCCAGTCTGATAAGTTGACAGTCAGCTTAGCAAGCTGATTCCTACAGGTTTGTTTTACATTTTGGGAGCTCCTAGTTCTCTTCTGGTGATCACTGAGAGCTGCAGTTAGTGACAGCATCATTTTAACCCAGATGGAAGGGGAGGTGGTTTTGACTGTGGGTCAGCAGCAGCTCTGCAGAATCTAAGCTTATGCAGGAAAGAAATTTTAAAACCCTTTTCATTCCCTTTGGATTTGTAGGACAACAGAACTTTACTCTGGGACACCAGATGCCCCAAACCAGCTACTCGAATTGGTATGTTTCTGTACACAGTCACTGCTTGTGCATGAGTTTGTGTTGGAAGGAATAAATGATGTGCCTGACTTCTGTGTCTGACTCCAAATCTAGTGAGGTGATGGTAGCAAAGCCTGTTAAAACCTAAGGAGGTCTAACACTGTCACAGAAGCACAGTAAGGTTAAAACACTTGTCTTAATGCTAAATGAACTAAAGTAGGAATATCTTTGTGCTGATTCTTTTCACACTCATCCCAGTTTTTTCCCCTCACAGTTTGCAGTGCCTGTAATTACCTCCCTACCTCAGTCATGTGGCATCCACAGAAAAGTGACGTCTTCGTTTTGGGTAAGAATTTTCACTTTGACCAGTCAAATCAAGCAAGGTCTTTGTTTTCACACGACAGTTTTGGTAGTAACTTTGTTCTCCCTCTCTCCAAGGTGATGAAAGTGGAACAGTTGCACTAGTAGACACAAAGAATCCTGACTCTGCCCTCAGTGCTGCTGTGCACATCCGGAGCATCACGGGGTTTGCATTTTCTACACATAGGTACAGTCTGATACCTTGGTACAGAATGTGTGACTGCATCCCCTTGAAAGCCTTATATTTTGGGGGGGTTAAAACCTGTGAGAATACTAGTTTGGGTCTTTTCATCAAAAAGTTTGTAGCAAAGAACAGAGTAAAGCAAGCAAGGTCTCACTTTTGACCTGTGTGAACATTTCTGCAGTTTCAGGTTTACTGACCCACTCACTGTGGGGATTTTTCTAATCACAATCATCAGATTAAAGAAGGATCTCATCCTTTCTGGCTCTGAGAGAATATTCTCAGTGCACTGGCAAAGTGCCAGTGCTGAAAACACTTCTGTGAGCTTTCTATGGCTGGTAATTCACTGTACTTGAGTCAGGATCACTAAAAAACCCTACTTTTCACAAGTTTATCCCTAAAAATTGTTGTGCTTGATTGTTCTAACTGTGGTCTCATCTCTGTCCTCCAGTTCCCCCTTACTGGCTACAATCAGTGAAGACTGTTCAGTCGCTGTTCTCGACTCAGACCTCTCAGAGGTGTAAGTACAGGCAGAACTTGCTCACTCCTGTGGTTATTTGTCTTGTTGTCTTCTCAACTGACTTACTTGTCCATAGAGTCATAGAATCCCAGAATGGTTTGGGTTGGAGGGACCTTAAAATTCACCCAGTTCCACCCTCTGCCATGGGCAGGGACACCTTCCACCAGCCCAGGGTGCTCCAAGCCCCATCCAACCTGACCTGGAACACTCCCAGGGATGGAGCAGCTACAGCTGCTCTGGGCAACCTGGAGGTGAAAGATGAAAACACTCCTAAGTAGGGGAGCATCAAAGTAGCAGTTAGGAGTTGCACAAACCCATAAACTCTTAGTGCTCGATGACTGAGGCAGTGTTGGTGTTTTCCAGGTTCAGAAACCGTTCGCATCGAGACTTTGTCAAAGGCTTGTCCTGGTCTCCCTCAGATGATGCCTTGCTCACCACAGTTGGATGGGATCATCAGGTTTTGCATCACACCATCCCCCTACCAACGGGTGAACCTTCTGGAGTCAACTGTGTAAAAGAATAGTTTTATAAACTCATGGTCCAAGTTCCTTCCTGGCATCACTTTGATTCTGCTGAAGTCGAAGGTGTGTGTGAACTGGAATTGGGAATGGTTTTTTGTCTGCCTTGAAGCTTGTGGCTAAGAAGGTTCCTGTAGCAATTTTGAATTAGGCATAAGTTAGTTACAAACCAAGCTTTATTGTCTCCTCAGGACTGGCTTCTTCTGTACTACTTTACCCAGAAAAAAATTGACTTCAGGCACAGAGGAGACTTGGACGGACAGGAATTAGGTGTAAGGACAAAAAAAGAGCCAAAAAGACTTGATTCCTCCCTCAGTTCTCCAAACCATCCATGTAATGAATGGAAGCATATTTTGGGGGAGGTTCACAACACACCTCTTGTAGTAGGATGTGAGAACCTCAGCCCTGAGCAAACTTCTTTGCTCTGTAAATCAGTTCTTCCAGTGGAATGGGAAGACATTAGCATTTAAAGACTAGAAGGTTTCCAGTGCTGTCCTCAATGCAGCAGGTGGTTTAGGGGATTGGGCTTCAGTACCAGTGTGGATCCCCTGGGGAGCACTGTTCCTGGTGTGAGGAGTCCTGTATCCTGTAAAATGAGGATCCCATCTGTAATTAAACACCTTCCTGATGGTGCTGACACCCTGGGACCTGTGATGCTTGGCCCTGAGGCCAGTTCAAGGGACTGCAGCATGCTGAAGGCCACAAGTGAGCAGTTGCTGTGCTGTTTGACACCACATTTCATCTCCTCTGTGCTGAAGACAACTCATTCAACCTGTGAACAAAAGGTTTATGTAAGGGAAAAACTGGACTAAGGACTTCAGTTGTCATTTGCTTGCTCCTGTAACAGAGTCTGCTTAGTGATAAACCAAACTCCTCCTGCACTTGTGACGAGTGACTTCTTGTGCTGAGGGGGACCAAGTGTTCCCACAACCCCCAGAACAGACTCCACACAATCCTTAGAGGTGTTTTTTGTCATGTACCACATACATTTCTAACTAAACTGTTTCCCTGGAACATATTTAACCAAAAAACCAAGTCATTGCTCTGCATGCATTGCTGCTGCTGTAGGTATGGCTTGGTCTGGCCTAGTATTTCCTAGACAGAATTAAGTCCTGACTAGTGAAACACAACTCCTTTTGAAATGAATGTTACCCATGGTTCTTTAGCATGATAGCAGCACTTAAATGTACACTGCTTCAGTGTTTAGCCCTGCATACACCTAGGTTTGAGTTGTGCAGAGCCACAGCTCATTTGTAGCAGAGTAAGCTTTTCCAGGCTCTGCACTTTTCTCATCTCCTCGTAAACCTCACTTGCTGCTTTTCAATTCCCATGTCATACAGGTGTTTACAGAGCAAACTTCCTGTTCTAGAGCAGTGTATGACAAGGAAGAGGTAAATGGTGGTAAAAACTGACAAGTTCCTTCAAAAATTACCCCTTGAACCACAAAACCAGTTCCCTTGTTGAGCACCTCAACCGAAACCTCAACCAGATGATGTGCTGCTTCTGAAGAAGTTGTCTTGGAAGATGGTTTTTAAATAAATCACAGTTTTCATTTGTAACTGGGTTTAAGTTTCACTGAGCCACTTGTGTAGCATTGAGGAGCCAGCTGAGATCATCCACACACTGCCAGTTGTGATTTCAGTCCCTGATATTAAACTGTTCTTAAATAAATGCTCACCAGATTCCTGTTTAATGCCAGGGATGATTCTTCATATTAATATATGCATTCATATCTTATATTAATAGGATTTTTCAGCACTAGCACAAGGCAGACTCTGTGTCCTGCTTGTTTCAGGAAGATTTTTCTCTCCAAAACTCCACTGGGTTTCCACTGTGCAAAGCTAAAAAAGTTTCAAACATCAAGTCTAAACATGAAATTCCTCACATTACCAACCTGTGAGCAAAACACAACAGCTCATGGCAAAAAGAAACCTGGTGGGTGGTGCAGCCTATATGGGCAGCAGGTCATTAGTGAGATATTGTTTCTAGAATTAAACCCATAAAAAAACCCAACAAAAAAGGTGGGTGGTGCAGCCTATATGGGCAGCTGGTCATTAGTGAGATGTAGTTTCTAGAATTAAACACTAAAAAAAACCCAACAAAAACCCCCTAAATGCCTCAGCATTTGGCAGATGTTTCCTGTGCCACAGGGTGGCAGCAGCTGCCCTTGGCAAGGGGCAAGGCAAGACCTTTCCTGCTCTGCACTTTGCTGTAAAGTGGATCTACTGAGTAGAGGTGATTCTTCCCCTCTGCTCTGCTCTGGTGAGACCCACCTGGAATACTGCACACAGTTCTGGTGTCCTCAACATCAGAAGGACATGGAACTGTTGGAGCAAGTCCAGAGGAGGCCATGAAGTTGCTAAGAGGACTGGAGCATCTCCCCTGTGAGGACAGGCTGAGGGAGTTGGGGCTGTTCAGCCTGGAGAAGAGAAGGTTGTGTGGAGACCTCAGAGCAACTTTTCACTCTCTGAAGGGCCTACAAGGAGCTGGAGAGGGACTCTGTGTTAGGAACTGCAGGGACAGGACAAGGGGAAATGGGCTCAAATTGTAGGTTCAAATTGTAGGATGAGGCCTTGAGCAACCTGATCTAGTGAGGAGGTGTCCCTGGCCAGGGCAGGGAGTTTGGGCTGGATGATCTGTAAGGTCCATTCCACCCCTTAAATTCTATGATTTGATGATTTTGCCTGTACTACTGCTAGCAAGACTATAGTAAATAGTCACATGGACACACAGACAGCATGGCAGAAACACCAGCAATCCCACATCAGTGCCTGTTGTCTTTGCTGCTATCTGCAAAGGAATTGGAGTGAATTCTCTGGGGTTTGTGGTTTGCTCAGCTGTCTCTGCACTACACCCCAGTCAGGTTTGGGGCTGCTCCTGTAAATACCTTGTGGCTCAAGTAAAGTACACACACTGCACACTTCCCTCCTGGAGAACCTGGTTCTGGAGCCAGAGTTGGATGAAAGAGATGAGAATGCAAATCAGTTTAATTTTGAGGAGTGGAGAGAACAAGCCACTCTGTGGAGAAGCCTTTTATGTTGCTGCTTGCATTGCTCACCCTGTGCTTGCAATTTTGGGCACAACATTCTAGTTGGGACATGTAACAAGTGCGTGTGAGTTTCGTTCCTAATGAAGAGCTCAAATCCAAGAACTATTTATAGAAGCAGAACAGCCTGAGCTGCACAAACTCACTGCCAGCCTGCCCAACCAGCTGGACGTGAGGGACAGGGCACTTAGGGCTTAGCTGCCCATTCATGCCTTGATTTGGCTTCTAAAAACACTCAAATGGCCACAGGGTTTATATCAATTGCTCAGTAGAAATTGGCCCAAGCCCTGGCTAAGCTGAAATTCAAACTTGCTGAGTCCTTTTAATCTGATGTGCAAAGATCTCTGTCTTAGAGCAGACACAGCATTTCTGGGGCATTGAACAAAGTCAGGCCACACATGTACTAAAACAATACATCAGAAATATTGAATGCGAGAAGGTTGGTTTTAATGGCACTCATAAATAAGAGACTTTGGTCAACACTTTACTGTTAAAGCTCTGTTATACTCCTTTAGGTACTTTTGAGGAAGAGGAAGCTGCAGGGGATAAGTGTATCCAGATTTAAATGACCAAACTGCATCAGAGAAGGTGAAGTGGGAATAATTCCAGGGTCAGGCTTCAAGGTTGCTCTGGGCTATAAGGCAGATTGCTTTGCTCTCTTACTACCACTTAGTTTCCTCCTCTTCTGCTGCTAAATTTATAGACAATCACAGAGTATCCTGACCTGGAAGGGACTCACAAGGATCTGCACAGGACAGCCCCAAAATCCCACCCTGAGAGCATTGGCCAAACACTCCTAGAGCTCTGTCAGGTTTGGGGCTGTGCCCACTGCCCTGGGGAGCTGTTCAGTGCCCAAACACCTCTGGGGGATGAACCTTGTCCTGATATCCAACCTAAACCTCCTAACCTAAATCCCCTGAGCCTAAACCTCCTCCAGCTGCTCCCTGAGATCCCATCACTGGTCACCAGAGAAGAGATCAGTGAAACAGAGCTGGGGAGGAGCAGAAACAGGAATCAAAGTACAATTTATCTACATACCTGACAAAGTTACCTTCCCCAGGGAGTTCTTCCCCAGCCCTGCAGTGCTCACTCTTTTTTTAGAGATGAACTTTCTCTCCCAGTGTTTCTGCTGCCAACAGCTCTGACAGTGGTTCCTTTGTCACACACAGTTCCCAACGGCCCCAACATAAATGTCTAGTTGTTACTGAAACACTAGGACTTTGCTGAATGCATTCAAAAGCAGCAGGGATAGCCCAGAGAGTTTAAAGAATAGAAGAGGTTCCACTGCTTCAAACATGTTTGCTAACCAGTTTTACAACTGGGAGCAGAGTCCAGCCTGGTTTAGTGGCAGCTTATGTAGTGTGCACTCCCAGAATGTGTTCTGGAGGGAATAATGACTGTTTTCTAAAGTTGACTTACATGATCATGCTTCTAATAGTAAATCTAGACAAATATATCTGCTAAAAGTGAGACATTCCATGCTCAGTAACACCAGATTTCACCTACCTAAGAGTTGTGTGTCTGGGTGAAAGGGTCAGTGTGACATTCAGAGCAAGTGACAGCAGCAGAGTGTCACATTCTTGCTCTGAAAAGAAAATACTTGGGGGATATGCTCCAATTTAGAACTCTTCAAGTGGAAAAGTGCATACCCCCTACACTTCTCCCTCCCTTCAGTGGGCAAAGTCAGTCCTGAAGTCTCTCAAAAAGCCTTTAAATTTAAAACTCTCTTGGAGAACTGATTTGCAGTTAGAGCTTATTGTTTGGGAGAGTGGATTGGAGAGGGGGAAGGATCAGGAAAAAAAAAAAAGCAATAAAGTTGCAATATTATCAGTGAGGTTCCTTTGTTTTCTTTCAAGTTAAAGTGCTGAAACTTCCCTCAGGACTAAAATGTGGCCCTGAGATCACTCAAACAGGATTAAGGCTTTGTTTCCACAGCATAGAAATCTCCAGATGCTCCTTGCATGGTGAAACTTTCATGTTTTGGGGCTGGGGATATTCCACATGACACTTAAATACCCATATAGTTACTCCACAGTCACTTTTCTCCATAAACACTTTTTAAAACCAACACCCAGATCAGATATTTCAAACCTGTTGTTTCAATATTGGCTGAGGTGAACACTGGAAATCTTCCAAGTCACTGCGACTTCCTGGCATAAAAATACCTTTTGAATTAGTTATTAGACTGATTGTGGTATTTGCATTTTCATTTTATTCACAGCAAAGTAAAGTTCAGAATACTTTGAAGCTGCTGCAATGTCTGAAAGGGCTGTTAAATTA